GCTCGTTATGGCGAGGTCCTGGCGGATCTTCTGCGTGTGCCATGATGATAAAGAAACCACTCGAAATGAACTGGGAAACTCGAAAATAATAATCGTGCGTAAAACGTGTGCGCGTACGCAGTAGTTGATACCAACTAAACCGAATTCTCACTCGGCGTGCGGTGATGGCGTAACTACAATGATGAATAATAACAGCTCTCTCTCTCTCTCTCACTCCTCCACTAAGTCAGCTCTTCTCGCTCGTTTCCTCGTCGAGCCATAAAACAATCATGGCATGGGAGTCCTTTGAGGACAGTAACGACTTGTTCAAACAGGTAATACAAATTCCTTAAAAATCCACCCTCTGTGGGTGTCATTGTTGTTTCTCTGCATGTACTTTAGATAATGAACGCCTTATACCTCAAATGAAAGTTTGTTAGATAGAGATATTATTTACATAATTTGCACATTTCATTACTAGGAGATTTTTTACAGAAAATTGCATTTTTTATCGAATAAGTTAGTAAAAAAAAAAGAAAATGATACATTTAAAAAGCGTAATTTTAAAACGTTTGTAGCTTTTCAACATTTTATTACTTATTATGAACTATTGGAATGTCTGCTATGCGACGATAACAAAAAACTCAAAATCAGGCATGCAGTTTTTTCTATTTCAATTTTAACCGTCTGAAATCGGAATAAAAAATAAAAAAACTTAGAATTCAAATAACTCAAAAATGGTTAACTTTTGGATAAGCGATGGTAGGACAAAATCGGTTGCTTTTGACCTAATCTATCACCACTTAACAGCAATACGTGACATTACAAGTCACCCTGTATACTGCTATCAAGCTATACAACGCGTTGCCTATCGAGTTCACTCACTACTCTATAAATGATTTCAAAAAAGATTGAAGCATTTTATCTCTGATTTCATTACCCAGTAAGTAGACCATGGCCATGAATAGGGACTCGTTACAGGTTTTTTTAACTTTTTTGTCTTCATTGGGATTAGAAAATTTACATAAATATTTGTTGGGTTAAGTTGAAAAACGCTTTTTAGCGACACCTCACGTTTTTATACTTTGTATAAATAAAGCCGGATTATTATTATTATTATAACAAAAATTGCACAAAAGTTAGTGACGTACATTTTTTGTCACAAATATTCGTTCAGGTCCTGCTCGAGACGCCATTGGACCTAATATTAATCAAGTTGATGCTAAATTAGCTTCTTAATATTATAAATATATATATATATATATAATTCAGCGCTTCAGGCCTGAAGGCCCATGGCTTCTATCTTTTTGACAACTTCTTTCCACGCTTTTCTATTTTTGGTCTTTTCCTCCCAGTCTGGTATGCCTAGTCTTTGTATATCCTCTTTGACACTTTCCAGCCACTGCTTCTTCGGTCTTCCTCTTCTTCTTCTACTACCTTCTCCTCCAAACAAAACTTTTTTGGCATTCCTATGAGACGGCATTCTGTAAACGTGTCCTAACCAGCGCACTCTTTGAGCTCGGGCTTTTTGTATTATACTGGGTTGGTTATACATCTCCATCAGTTCTTTATTAGTTCGCTTTCTCCATGTACCATCGTTGTTTTTTGTGCCCCCATATATTTTACGTAACATTTTTCTTTCCCAGCGTTCCAATTTCTGTACGTTTTTCTGGCTTAACACCCAAGCTTCATCGCCGTAAAGTACTGATGGTTGGATAACTGATTTATATATCCTTTCCTTTGTTTTCCTTGATATCCACCTCGAGTTTATCATCGTGCTTAAAGCCCCCATTGCTTTACTCCCTTTTGCTATTCTTTTTTCAATTTCTAACTCTTCTTCTGCTTTATCTGTTATTGTGACCCCTAGATATTCAAATTGATTCACCTTCTCGAAACAGTACTCTCTGCAACTACTTCTTATTGTTAACTTTCCTTCACTGCTTCCTCTCATTTCAAGGTATTTTGTTTTGTCTTCATTTATATGAAGCCCAAAACGTTTGGCAGTTTCTTCTAACCTTCTAAACGTCTTCTCTTTGTTCTGCTTTGGATCTGGTTATTATTGCTATATCATCGGCATAAGCAATCAACTGATGTTTTCTATAGTAAACAACTCCGTCGGTTTGTATACCACAATTACGTAAAATAGCTTCCAGCGTAAAGATAAACAATGTTGTAGATAGCGGGTCCCCTTGTCTCAGGCCTCTCGTTACGCCAAAAGCTCTAGATGTTTTCCCTTCCAATGTGACTTTGTTCATTGTCCCGTTCATTGTCATTTTGACTAACCTTATCAGTTTACTTGGTAGTCCCAGCAGTCTCATAGCTTCATATAATTTTTCTCTGTCAATGGAATCATACGCTTGCTTGAAATCAATAAATAATGCATGTAAACCAAGATTTTGTTCATAGCTATTATAGAACAGCTGTTTCATTGTAAATATTTGGTCTATTGTGGACCTGCCCCTTCTAAAACCTCCTTGATATTCACCTATAACCTCATTTTCATATATGCTCAATCTGTCCCTTAGTTGAAATGCTAGTATCTTATATGCAGTGTCTAACAGGGCAATGCCTCTATAGTTTTCACATGAACTTTTATCACCTTTTTTGTGTATTGGGCAGATTACGGCGTTTTTCCATTCATCTGGTAGTTCCTCTTGATTCCATATATCCTGCTCGAGACGCCATTGGACCTAATATTAATCAAGTTGAGGCTAAATTAGCTTCTTAATGTTATAAATACCATTGCCAAATAACAACAAGATTAGGTTAAGAATATTTAATAAATTTAGGAATTTTTTCTTAATTTTAAAACCCTGTATCTTGAGAACGAAGAATTTGTGGACCTATGTTTATATGAACTTTATCTTAAAACTATTCAAAGAACCGTCTGTTAAATTTACGGTACATATTTATGGTACCGACTCAATTAACGAGGTCTGTAAATTAAGTAATGAGACTGGCCACGTAGTGTTCGATCTGGCAACACTGGAGGCGCTGGGCTTGGAGAGGAGATCAGGAACAACTGGGTGTTGCATCAAGATAATGTTCCTTGTCACACAGTAATGACAGTAAACGTGTTTCTGGCCAGTAAAAACATTAATATGGCTCCTCAGCCACCATACGCGCCTGACTTGAGTCCTTGTGAAAGTTGAAAAATCACCTCAAGAGAACTGATGTTGGGACAGTCAAAATATGCAAGCGGCTGTAAGCGACCAGCTGAAGGATGTTTCAGTATCAGATTAAATAAAAGAATCAATTTTATCACTTAACTTACAGACCTCGTTTATTCGTCAAACATTATTTAATAATCGATAATCAATTGTGAGAGAATCCGAATGACAATGTGGCGACCAGACAATAAATTGTGTTTTTCTAGTAACAACTGATTTTGCAGAAAGGTGTTTTGCTTAAAATTGCCAATTTTTACTGTCTGTATTAACGGCTTCTTAGGGTATCGAACATTTTGTTCAGCAGTCTTTTTATTAATCACAGCTGTCAGAATACGTTTAAAATAGTTTTGGGTAGTTAAGGTTTTCAAAATGCGTAGAGGAAAGGTTATTAGTGAGAAAATTCGTTTACTGATAATTAAATTTTTTAATTCTGGGAAATCAAACTCAGAAATTGCAACTTTGTTAGACTTATCGCGGTACAGTGACGCTGTTGGAAGGAGAATTTCGAGGTCCACAACTCATAGAGAGGCTCACAAACTGGGATTTAGCACTTGCAAGGTTATAAAAAAAAGTGTAGTAAAAACCTTAAAGTTGCACAACTTGTTTATAGGACAAAGAAAAGCCACAATGGTGTGCAATACAATGGAGTGATGAGGCCCGATTCGAAGTCTGTGTTGGTGACAGTCGCAGTAGAGTTATTTGCAAAAAATGAAGCCTTCCATGTTGTCTGAAGAGAAAAGTGAAATTTTCAGCATCCATTATGGTCTGGGGCAGTATGTCATCAAAAGAAGTAGGAAAACTTCATTTTGTTGATGGAAATGTGGATACAAATAAATATTTGGCAATTTTAGAAGAATCGCTTTTACCAGTGATGAAGAATGTTTGACATCCGGCCAAGATTTGCAGCATGTGCAGCGTGCCATACCTCAAAAAGGCTATAAAATGGATGGAAGAAAATAATGTACCACTTTTGTAATGGGTTTCTAGCAGTCCAGATCTGTCACCTATTGAAACTTTTTGGCACGAGGTGAAAAAGGTTCTACGACAACATCCTGCTCGTACAATCACCGAACTGAGACAAAAGCCTCAAGAAATATGGAATTGTTTTACCGCAAATTTTTGCCAAAACTTGGTTAACACTATGCCCCAAAGAATTTCAGCCGTAATAAAAAATAAAGGTGATGTTACCCATTGGTAATATTTCAATTGTTGCTTTGTTAACTTCGCGCATTTATTCGCACACTGTTTATTTGTTCAGATGTTCTATTAGTTATACGTCTAAGTGTATTTTTTACGACTAGAGTGTATCTAAAATGTTTTTGAGAAAATAAATTGTTTTAGAAGTAAATAGTTTCGTCATGTTTAGTTTATAAATGCATATTTTGGTACAAATCTTGAACTGGGCAAACTGAAGTGGGAAGGGGCTCGTATGTTTTGTGAAGCCGAGTAGACCATAGTCTGAGATGAGGAAGAAAGGAAGTTGGTTGAGTAGCAAGATCGCATCTGGATGATTTTGTATATTGGTCTGCATGTGTATAAAATCAGTGATATTTGCTATGTGAGAAAATTATTACAGAATATGCTGCCAAAGAAGTATATCTATTAGCTGTCACTACGAAATGCCGTGCTGGACGAGCGTCGTTGACGGTGGTCATACGTCACAGTCGGCAATCGCTTCCGCACCGCTGAGGGGTGTGTGCACTGTGCATGATGGTCATCGCAGCGTTCATGGGAAGGAGGAAGATCATTTAATTTTTTGCTATACATAAGTACAGGGTCAACTTACTTGACCGCATTTTTTATTTTGTATTTCCTGTATAATAGATCCCTATCCATTTTTTTTTATTTTAGATGCCAGTTGGAGCAAGGCGGCTACCTGATAATGCCAACGACCTTCGAGCCTGGACAAGAATCGGGCTTCACCCTCCGTGTGTATTCCAGTAAACCGCTGAAACTGAAGCTGCTGGACACCATCCCGCTTCTTCTGAAATCGGCCATAGTGAAAGCACCTCCATTACTCGACGGGAAGAGTTTTAGTCAGTACGAAGCTGTGTTCTTGCAGCTGGCCGACGAACATAGGGCTGTGAACGCGTTTGAGTTGCAAGAGTTATTGGATGCTTGTTTACCCAACGACTACATCAAGAGCTGTGCATCGATTGAAGTTTGTCGGCAGATCGTGCTTACCTTTGAGGTAAGTTCGGAGTTTTTGACTTGTACTTTATGAATTGGTTATTTGGGAGCTCCACTTTTTAGCCGATAGATACCTTTATGCCCTATGGCAACAATTTTAGTTTGTTAAGCTACTTTGATAATTTTGGAATAATCAGTGAGCTACCTAGTCGTAAGCAATGTAAGCCAACTTAAATGATATTATACACAGCTGTATGCGACATACAAGTGTTAATTTTACTAATACTAATACATAATAATAAACTTAAGTAAACTAATAAATACTACATAACTACATCCATTCCTACCAAACGTAGGTGTTTGAAAAATAAACAAAATTTTTCGTCAGCTACAACGGCATGTCACATACGATTTAATATAGGCAACTAAAAATAAAAAAGCAACGCACTATTTTAAACAAACATGTCCAGATAAAAAAATTCGTGTTCAATAAGAAGCCTGACACTCAGACTAACTGACAATTTTCTTGATGTCTGGAGTATAATTTGATACCGCCATTCGAATACAATTATACAGGATGTTTTAGTTTTTTGTTGCATAACTTTAAGATTCGATAGAACTTTTAAAATTAATGCATAAAGTCTATATAAACATGGGTCGAAAAATGCGTGGCTTCCGAAATACAGGGTGTTTGAATTTACTTTCTAAAATAGTTTTTTTTAAATATTTCGAACAATATTTGATGTATAACAGTGAAAATTGGTATACAAGGGTTTTTTGGTACGACAAAACGAACCATGGGCATAGTTTTACTGTAGCCGCTGTACCTGTAGTGTATTAAAATGATCGAAAATTTTTTCTTAGTGCAATTTTTTGCTTTTTGAATAAAAAAACTGAATCTTCGCACTTTTCAACATAAAAAACCTCTCTTGTGAATTTTCGTTATAGTTAGCCGTTTTTGAGATATTTCGATTTTTAAGGGTCGATGCATATTTAATTATTTATGATAAAATAACGTTAAAAAGTCAGTATCTAGATAATTTTTAGAAGTAGGCTGTGCCTGCAAATATTTTTGAAATTGAAAGCAGAATAAGGTTAAACGTCAATTAGTTGGCAGTTAGTTTTGTTGTCTGTTGAAACCTGAAACGTTTTTAGTTTCTTTTACCTGTTTTTTTTGTAAGTTTTATAAAAATGCCATTTTTATTCTCCAATCAAGAGTTAGCGGATATTCATTTTGTGTATGGCTTTGTAAATGGAAACGCAGCAGAAGCAGCCAGAGAATACGCACGAAGATTTCCAAACAGACGACATCCAACTCGCTCAGTATTTGTAAGAGTGCATCGCCAAAAAATTGAAAATGGTTTTGGAAATCTCCAAAGGCATCAAAACATAAATGTTCGTCAGCGCAGATTTACCCGTATGATTCTGCGTGAGTTTGATAGAGATCCGACCACAAGTGTTAGGAGAGTTTCTGGTGCCTTGGGAATTTCAGCAAGCCATGTTCACCGTGTTCTTAGAAATGACCATAGACGTCCTTACCATTTGCAACCTGTGCAAGGACTACAGCCAGGGGACGGAGAACGAAGCATCACATTTTGTCAGTGGATTCTTGATAGAACTGATAATAATAGGGAGTTTTTAAGTAACGTTTTATGGACCGATGAGTCATGATTCACTAGACCTGGAGTGGTAAATTTTCATAATCAACAAATTTGGTCGCACGAAAATCCGCATGCAGTTATTATTATTATTATTATTATTATTATTATTATTATTATTATTATTATTATTATTATTATTATGATAATTGAGATGAGCAGAGTACACAGTACTATAATCCCATGCAGTAAATATAGTGTACGGACACGTAACACAAATACATCAAATAGAAAAAAATAAAAAAAGACAGTTCATAGCTATAAAGTTTGTACACTCCTCCAGCTATCATACTGCACTTTGAAGCTATTAACTGAAGTAGCACCAACCACACTTTCAGGTAAACTATTCCAGGTGTTTAATATGCGGTTGGGAAGAAACCACTGTCGGACTGTTGTTTTAAATGGCTCCTTATGCAGTTTGAAGCTGTGTCCGCGTAGATTGCTGCGCGACAGACGGTATAGATGCATGAGGTTGGTGCCCATCAAACCATGAAGTATTCTGAACGTAACTATATGATCGCCACGAAGTCTTTGCTCAGAGAATGAGGTCACGTTGAATAATTCAAGGCGATCTTCATAGCTTGGTCTTCGTGCTCCAAAAGGGATACGAGTAGCCCGACGCTGTACCGATTCGACGAGATTTCTATCGCGCAGAAGCACAGTGTCCCATACCGGGCCAGCGAATTCAAGAATTGGCCTCACGAATGCTTTGTAAATGTAGGCGCAAGTGTTGACATCGGATCCTTTGAAAGACCTCTCCAGCGTGTATAGAAGTTTCTTGGCTTCTGATGTAACGTGGTGAATATACTCTGACCAGGAAAGACGATCGTTGACTACAACGCCCAGATCAGTGTGGCTGGAAACTGCTTCGATGTTGTGGTCAGAGATCTTGTATGTAAATCGCGGATTTGTCTTCCCGAGGTGAAGGACACAACACTTAGTTAGATTTAAGGGTAAAAGCCAACTGACTGACCATTGACCAACAATATCAAGATCTCGTTGAAGCATAGCAGAATTTACGACAGTATTGTAAATCTTGGTGTCGTCGGCATAAGCTGAACATGTGGAGGAAATCAATGCGGGCAGGTCACTTGTATACAGAAGGAACAGCACTGGCCCCAAGACAGAGCCTTGAGGAACTTCACTTGCTACATGATGAAGGTGAGACTGGCTATCACTGACGCGCACAGAGACAGTCCTCCCGGTGAGAAAAGCCTTAATCCACAGTAACAACTGGCCTCTTATTCCCATACATTCCAACTTAAACAGAAGCTTTCTATGTGGTACGCGATCGAAAGCCCTAGAAAAATCTAAGTAGATATATCAACAGGAGTCTTTGTGTCCAGATACTGAGTCCAATCGTTGAGAGAGTGAAGAAGGTTGGTCATTATTGATCGACCAGGGAGAAATCCATGCTGATTCTTAGGGATAAGGTCATTTTCGAAAGCAAATGACATGAGCTTATCTAATATGATTCTTTCAGCTATTTTGGCGGCGATAGAAACGAGACTTATTGGTCGATAATTTTTAGCGGATGATTTATCGCCCTTTTTGAATACAGCGGTAACAGAAGCACTAAGCCAGCATGAGGGTAAGGTATGAGATCTAAAAGACGATGTGAATATCAAGCTTAATGGTAGGGCCAGTGCTGAAGCGCAGTTTTTTAATTACAGCAGCCGTCATTCCATCTTTACCAGGGGAGGAAGAGGTCTTCAGATTTCGCAGGTGCATTAATACATCTTCAGGCAGGAACTCAACTTCGCAAAGGCTGTTGGGACACCTATGGCAGATAGTGGTCGGTAGAAGGTCTCCATTAGGCTCATCGACGAAATCATTACTAAAGGACTCTGCCAGTAAGTTGGCAGATTCGGTGGCATCCATGTGGATTGGGACCTCGGTTGGCCGCGTGGGTCAGAGTGTCGTGCTACTGATCAGCCGGCCGGTCGGGCCGCGAGTTCGAATCTCGCCGTCGCCATGGATGTTGTGTGTTTGTTTTAGGCAGCGGAGGTACCACCCGGCGGTTCTCGTAGGCGGAGCCAGAATGTGTGCATGTTGCATGCACACGTGTTCCCTCGCCAGAGTCCGTGTGGCGTCCCCCCTTTTCTCATGTATCCCCCTATAGCCCCACGGTACCCAATGGGTGCTTAGGCCTTGGGCCTTCGTGGTAGTTGGAGTATATAAAAAAAAAGATGACCGTCAGCGTCGCGGATCTGAGGTGATGAAAGAAATTTTCAGCATGAATTTAGTGTGAACGTGTGGATTGGTATCTACCGTAATCGACTATTTGGACGCTACCTTTTGCCTGCAAGGTTAAATGCTGCGACCTTCTTGGAATTTTTAAAGGCTGAACATGCAAATATATGGGATGATGTTATGTTAGATTTAAGAAGATTGGCCTGGTTCCAGCTTGATGGTTGTCCAGCTCATTATTCGAGAATAGTTAGAAACTGGCTGGACGAAAATTAAACAAATTAATATTCTGTTTTTTGTGTTTATTTGGAGTTAGGAATTATTGCTGTGTTTAAAAACACAATCTAAACGATCATCTTTATTACTTGTAATGACCAAATCGAAAATGTAAAAATAAAATATTATTTTCCCATAAATAATTAAAAATGCATCGAACCTTAAAAATCGAAATATCTCAAAAACGGCTAACTATAACGAAAACTCACAGGAGAGCTTTTTTTTATTCAAAAAGCAAAAAATTGCATTAAGAAAAATTTTTCGGTCATTTTAATTCACTACAGGTACAGTAGAGAGCGCCCTCTGACGGCTACAGTAAAACTATTCCCATGGTTCGTTTTGTCGTACCAAAAAACCCTTGTATACCAATTTTCACTGTTATACATCAAATATTGTTCGAAATATTTAAAAAAAACTATTTTAGAAAGTAAATTTAAACACCCTGTATTACGGAAGCCACGCATTTTTCGCCCCATGTTTATATAGACTTTATGCATTAGTTTTAAAAGTTCTATCGAATCTTAAAGTTATGCAACAATAATCTGAAACACCCTGTATAAATGTTCATCTGTAAGTCGATTACGGAATTTGTTTTTAATAAACTTGATATTTGTAAAAGAAGATTCACACAAATAGATTGAACTAAATAACGCTTTCACTTTCAAGGCAACAAGACATAAAACTGAATATTTATATTTACTTACTGAAGGCCAGATACATTTTGTATTTAAGACTAATGATTCTAAAGCTAAATCATTTTGAAACGCAATCACTTCCATTTATGTCGCAGCGATATCTTCGCTAAAATTTTGCTTAACAGAAGTTGGATATCAATTTCCATGAAGGGTGGAACAACAAATTGCGCCACTATAGCAATTTTGTTGAAATCCTTGAAATTATTTTTGAAGTTATCCTTCAAGTTAGAGACTATTTCTAC